TCGTGGGGCCTGAACTCCGGGCCTGGGCGCTGTCCCTCAGCTCTTCAGCTCAAGGCTAGGGCTCTACCACTTGATCCACAGTGCCACTTCTGGCTTTTTTCTTTTTGCTTATGTGGTACTGCAGGGCCTCATGCATGCAAGGCAAGTACTCTACCATTGAGCCACCTTCCCAGCCCTTTTTCCCCATTCTTAAAAAGAGGATTTCCTGTTGTCCAAGTGTTAGCCTCAACTTCTGATCTCCCTGCTGAACGATTACAGACATGTACTATATCCAATTCCTTCTCATTCACTTGTTACATATATCCCTCAAGCAATTTTCTTCTATTCCTGCTATAAAGCTAGGTTTCTGCTGAGTTAACTCAAACATACAAGTGAGTCACTCACAAAACATATTTTATTTACAAAGACCAGAACAAAATCAGGTTCGGTACAGGTTACTAACCCTTGACATGGGAATAGACTGGTAAAGTTTTATTACCCCCTCCCCCCTCATCAGTTGTGGGGCTTGAATTCTGGATCTGGGTGCTGCCTCTGAGCTCTTCAGGTCAAAAGTGAGCGCTCTACACTTGAGCTATAGTGCCACTTCTGGTTTGCTGGTGGTTAATTGAGGTCTCATGGATGTGCCTGCACAGGCTGGCTTCAAACCTTGATCCGTAGATCTCAACCTGCTGAGTAGCTAGGATTACAGGAATAAGCTAACGGCGCCAGGCAAGTTTTATTTTTTTATTAAGTGATTACATAAATTTCACAGTATTATGGAATAGTGATACTTAAAGTCACAAACTCACTTTAACCTTCAAAAGGCACATTGGTATTATAGTGGTCTGTAAAGCTTATGGACTCTAAAAACTGACATTACAGCTATGTTTTTCAAGTCCGGTGATACGTATAATTTTGTTTTTGAAGACAGGTTTACCTATGGAGCCCAGGCTGATAATGAACTTAGAATCATGCTACCCCAACCTGGGATTACAGGTATGTGCCACAACATTTAGGTCTGGTAGTTTATTGGTCTGTGTGCTCTCATACTAGAAACAATCTAAAACCTGATATAGATGCTCAAAGCTTCAGATCTCTTTGGGAGTTGTCTACACTTCAGCATTCTGCTGTGAACAGATTATTTTCATCAAGGTCCTTTTTCAATATTTTACTCACTGGTATCAAACAAAACTACTGACAACTCCTCTTCAAATATTCTCTCCAACTCCAACACATGCAGTGTCCAATAATATGACATTGCATTTTCCCGATCTTTCATTGAACACTGTAACCTATTCATAGCCCTTATTCACTCTTCCCAGTTGCTGGGGGTAAATATTTAACTTTTTAAACTGTTATGACAATCTTACAGCGCTTTGAATATACTTGATCAAGACTTCCCAGTGTTGGTTTGTGTTTCAAAGCTTAGTTTCTTAACTGCGAAAGGAGGATCTCAATGTGGACTCTGACAAGTTAGGCCCCAGTAGGTCTCATAGGGCTATTATAGTTTCCAAAGTATCCTCCAAATCTGGTTTTCCTCTATTCTTCCTGTGGTTAGTGCCATGGTCAGTAGGCCAGCCAAGTAAAACTCTAGATTCACTTTTTCTACTTAACACTGTTCCTTTTCAGGCCTGCTGACTATAGCTAACCCCATATAATCTGATTGTACCTCCGTATGTATGGCCCACGGAACTGCAATAATTACTTTAGGCTACTGGATTATTTTTTTGTTGGTCATGGGGCTTGAACTCTGGGCCTGGGCGCTGTCCCTCAGCTCTTAAGCTCAAGGCTAGCACTCTACCACTTGACCCACAGTGACACTTCTTATTTTCCCAGTAACAACTATAATGTGGTTGGTTTCTACCATGTAAATGGATAAAATACACATTTTCCCCCATTTCAAATTATTAAGTTACAAGATCAGCCTATCAAATTTTGAACAATGCTGGGCTGGGAAGGTGGCTCAGTGGTAGAGTGCTTGCCTTGCATGCATGAGGCCTTGGGTTTGACTCCCCAGCACCACATAAGCAGAAAAAACTAGAAATGGCACTGTGGCTCAAGTGGTAGAGCGCTATCCCTGAGTTGAAGAGCTGAGGGACAGTGCCCAGGCCCAGAGTTCAGGCCCATAACCAACAATAACAAAAAAAGAAACCACCTCTCCCTAAGCTAGACATAATGGCCTGCAAGCCCAACACTTAGGATCTGAGAAAGGACCAGGAATTTGAAGCTGGGGCCACTTAGTGAGACGGTCTTACAGGAGTGACATTGTCCAAAAAGAATTGTACTTATTAGTGATGTATGGAACGGGAACCCTTTTGTATAACACTTTAATAATAAAAATTATATTAAAAATAAAAATGTCTATGGAAGATGGAAAATAAAAGGGAATATAAAACTATATATGAGACAAGTGCCAGTGTGAGACTCTTTTATCTCCAGTTAACCACCAGAAAACTGTTAAGTGGTGCTGTGGCTCAAAGTGGCAGAGTGCTAGCTGTGAGTGAAAAAGCTTAGGTTCAGTGTCCAAGCCCAGAGTTCAAGCCCCATGACAAAAGAATAAACAAAAACAAAAAGCTATAAATGAGCTGGCGGTGGCTCACACCTGTAATCTTAGCTACTCAGGAGGCTGAGATCTGAAGATCAAGGTTCAAAGCCAGCCTGGGCAGGGAAGTCCATGAGACTCTTATCTCCAATTAACTACCAGAAAACCAGAAGTGGTGTTGTGGCTCAAGTGGTAGAGTGCTAACCTTGAGCTGAAGAGTTGAGGGACAGGGCCCAAGCCCAGAGTTCAAGCCAAAAAAAACAAAAACAAAAACAAAAAAACAAATAAGAAAACTTATAAATAAGGTATATAGTTCTAAAGTCCCTTCAGAGATTTTTGCAACTTGAGGCACTAGCAACATTAAAAGGAACAGAATTGCTTTAAACTATACAGAAGTGAGCCTTCTTTCTGATCATATCTACCATAGTAAATGCAACCAAATCCATAATTTCTCAGCTATAATATAAACCTTCGACCAAATTCCTCCCTGCTAATGACAGAATAAGAAAATACCTTATCTTTCTTACAGGATATCACAAAGACTAATATTTGTAAAATTTATCAAGAGCATACAAAATACCTAGCACATGGTTAGCATATAAAAAGCTTTGTTTCTATTGTAACTTGTTTTTAATTAACCAGTGTAAATACTACTTTGAGAATTTGCAGTATAAATAAGATCTCTCCAGGACACACAAAAGGCAGAGATCTTATAGTGCTTCCATCTTGGAATGCCACAGTGGTACCTTTGCTTAGTTTCAAAGCTAGACTAACAATCCCGAGGGTTACACATACGTAATAAGGACATGGAAACTGGGGTTGGGGCTGTGAAAGAAGTGGAGACTTAGTATTATAGACAGAGACGACGTGCCCTTCAAGAGTGTCCTAATGCCATTCTACAAGTACAATTGGCTATACCCCGCTTACTTAGTAGGAACAAATGAGGACCTGCCTACAATTGGAAGTGAAGCACAGAAACAGACTGAAATGATCCATAAGTACCACAAGAGAAATGTTAACTAGAAACTTTTAATTTGTGTTATATGAAAAATCACTTACTGCAACAACAAAACTAGAGGTTAAAGACTCCTTTATTATTGAATTATACTGTAATGTCTACATCTACGATTAGTCAGGAAGCAATGCTTTGCATTTACATCAAGAACACATTTACTCTAATGAAATAAAACAGACACTGACAAAGGACTGAGAACATGTTTTAAAAAGTGACTACATATTTTACCTGGTCCTATTTTGCTATTTTGGACCATACTCTTTCTATTAGAGAACTGACTTTAAATACATATTAAGTCTGATTTATCTCCTCATATTTTTAAACATTAAATGGAGTTTTTTTTTTTTTTACAATTTCTAATTATAAACAAAAGACTGAAAACAATATGGAAGAAAAAGTTTGAACAAAAGAAGTAATAGCAGATGGCTATGATCTAATAGCGGAGTATAACATGGCCCCTCTGTGGCTCATCTCAAAGAGACACTGTTACTCAGAGAGGTAGCACTTCAGACCAGGACTGAGCTTCCCTGTGTCTGAAGGACCAGATCCTGTATGTATTTCTTGTCTCAACTGCAAAAAATAAGTGAAAATACCTACAAAATATCTAAAAGCTAAATATCAGATGGTGCTAATTCAAATCAAATTTATATGCTGGTCTAAATATACATATTTAAGCTTTGTTTTAAAAATTATCCTCTTATTTTGGACAATATTAAAAAATAGCTTACATTTTTAGTGTGCTGTCTGGTCAGTAACTGTAAAGTTGTAACTCTAATGATTAAGTTTAAAATTTGTATGTTTTCCTTGATTCTACTGAAACTATAATTAAGACTTTACCTAATCAACATACATGAGGTAAGTTTAAGCTAAAAAAAAAAAAATCACAAAGATAAAGAGTTAACCACCAGAAGACTACACAAAATCATAATGCCCACACCTCATATTCAAAGTTTACAGCTTTTAAATATCAACCACTGCTTATATGTAATTTAAAAGCAAATATTTTCTGCACCTTAAAAATCAAATTATATTAAGAAACATGGGAAAAAAATATCTTGGCAGAATTTAGTTTTGGTAACAGAAGACAATGCAACAATGAATCCAAATGGAACAAGACAGCAGTGTTTAAAGTTTCTAACTTCTAAACAAACACACCAACACACTTATTTGTCTAAAAAAATATTTTGGTAATAAATTGACAGAATAAATGTTTTGCTGTAAATAAAAAGTAAAAAGTTCCAATTAGTTTATAGCTAGCCTTTTAAATCATGTACAGCCAGCTAATAGTTCTCTGAGACACCTATTGTTGCCCTAAAAGATTCCTGCTAAAATCAAACTGTTAATACGTCTTACTGAAGTAGGACTTCCATGATGCTAGAAATCATTTAGAAAGGAAGATAGGGCTACATTACCACCATTACTATTCATAAAAGTCACAGAAGAGATTATTGCTGTGCTTTTGTCAATACCATCAAATTTTGTTGCAGTTATAAAAAGTACAACCAGGTTACCTTTTCTCTTACTGAATTTCATGTTTCACAGGTCTGTAACATTTTTTATCCAGTAGAGAATTTTAAAATAGTTTCTGTAAGCATTCCAAGAATTTAAATGTGTAGCTTCACATTGTACTATCATGTTTTGCGCCCTTGTTTTTCAAATACACCAAAGAAATGTATTTTTCCCAAAAATGAAATATGATGTCCACATTAAAAAAATAAAGCCTACAAAAAAGTTCCAGAGCTAAAAAAGATTATTCATATGGCACAATGTGATCTCCTACTAGTCCAAAGGTTTAAGTCCATTTATATATCTTGTTTACTTTTCAATGGAAAACTAAACTTATTGAGGTGAAATCACATTATTTTTAGTTCTTCAGTCAACAAGTATACACAAATGTTTTTCTATATATTAAAAATAGGAGACCAAGTTGAACGTGCCAAAGTGATACTACTCAGTTGGATGTTTTAGCCTCATCACGAAGAAAATTAGAAAAGGGATTTCCTTGGTTGGTTTCCATAGCTTGATAGACCAAAAACAAAAAAACTGCTACAATAACAAACAGCAAAATTTTTATCCACATGGGAATGGAGCGTCCCTTTTTTGTCTTTTCTGATTTGACATCTGCCAAGGGAACATACTTAGGAACATATTTGGACGAGAAAGATTCTTCCATCCTGAAATCACTGAGTTCTAATGGTCGGCCTGCAGCCCCTTTTATTGGTCTGCGACAACTAGCACTGTTGAAAGTGGAAAAAAAAGAAAAAAGAAGTTTTTAGGTAAAGTCATGATGTGATAAATAACAAAATGTCAATGCCACTACTAAGCTTCAAGTGAGAGTAGAAAACTGATTCACATAAAGCAGTCAAGTTAACCTAGTCACAGTAGAAAATTGACACACATAAAGCAGAGAAGTTAACCTAGTTAAAACTTCTATATATATTTTCACCTTAGAAGTAAGGTGCAGGGACTGGAAATGTGGCTTAGTGGAAGAGTGCTTGCCTAACATGCATGAAGCCCTGGGTTCAAGCTCCAGGAATGGCAGGGGAAAAAAACATTAGGTGCAGTGGTTCATGCCTATCTCAGTTTGCTGGGAGGCAGAGACGGGGAGATAAGGGTTCATTAGCCAGCTATGGCAACAAGTTAACAAGACCCTATCTTTTTTTTTTTTTTTGGTCAGTTGTAGGGCTTGAACTCAGAGCCTGGGAGTTGTCCCTGAGTTTTTTCACTTAAGGATAGTGCTCTACCACTGTGAGCCACTTCTGATTTTCTGGTGGTTAACTGGAGATAAGAGTCTTATTGACTTTCTTGCACAGACTAGAAGCACCACCCTTAGCCTATTGTGCAACCAAGCCAGGCAGGGTTGTGCACACTAGAATTCTAGCTAAGAGATAGGAGGATCGCCAAGGGAAGAGAATCTCTTAAGCTGGAGAATTTCTATTAGAGGCTGTCTCAGGTAAAAACTAGCTAAAACAAAACAGAGCTGAGGGCTATTTTTCAAGTGGTAGAGTACTGTCTAATAAGCACCAAGGACTGAGTTCAAAACCCCAGCATCATTAAATAATAACTAATACTATTGTTTATTTTGTTGTTTTTTTTGTTGTTCTTGCTGGTCGTGGGGCTTGAACTCAGGGCCTGGGCACTATCCCTGAGCTTTTCTGCTCAAGGCTAGTATTCTACCACTTTGAGCCACAATGCCACTTCTGGTTTTCTGATGGTTAATAGTAGATAAAGAGTCTCAGGACTTTCCTGCTCGGGCTGGCTTCGAACTGTGATCCTCAGATCTCAGCTTCCTGAATATCTAGGATTATAGGTGCCAAGTTAGTGGCGCCCAGCATTGCTAATCGTCAGAACACAAATGTTCACTAAACCTGGCTTTTAAAGACTTTTCAAAACTAATATATCTAGGCTGGGAATGTGGCTTTGTGGTAGAGTGCTTGCCTACCAGGCATGAAGCCCTGGCTTTGATTCCTCAGTACCATATAAATAGAAAAAACCAGAAGTGGCACTGTGGCTCAAGTGGTAGAGCCCTAGGCTTGAGCACAGAGAAGCTCAAAAACAGTACCCAAGCCCTGAGTTCAAGCTCCAGGACCAGCAAAAAACAAAAACAACAAAAAACAATGTATCTAGAAAGAAATAAAAATACAAGGTGCTTTTAGTTTCTCAGTTACTCAGGAGGCTGAGATCTATCTTGGTTTGAAGCCAGCCCTGGCAGACAAGGTCCCTCCAAGACTCTCACCCCCAATTAACCATTAAGAACAAAACCAAAAAACCAACCAACCAAACAAAAACAAACCAAAGTGGAGATGTGGCTCAAGTGGTAATCAGCCTTGAGCACAAAGAGGCTAAGGCACAAAGAGGCTCAGGAAAGTGCCCAGGCCGAGTTCAAGCCCCACAACTGACAAAAATTTAAAACATTAAATTAAAATAAAAAAAAAAAAAGGAAGGAAACAAGGAAGGAAGAAGGGATTGTTCTTCTTACTAGATTTTTGTTTAGATTACAAAATACATGGTCTGGGTATATAACTCAGTAGTACAACACTTGTCTAGCATGAATAAGTGCCAACACTGTCCTCCTCTGCCCCCCCCCCAACCACAAACCCCCAAATCTCTTATGCTTGATTCAGGTTTGAAGTACCTAATTCCTGTTGGTGTAGATGCTTCATAGGGGAACATTTCCTTAAGAATATCCCTTTCTATTCTTCTTTCTTCTGTTTTTTCTCCCACCTATTAGGAAACAAACAATGTAAGTTAAAATTTAGTAAAAACATGCCATAATTAAAACAATTCTACATATAAGTTTTAGAGAACAAAATGTCATTTCAATCTATCCTAGCCTTTGACTGCTGTTTCCCAAATTCATGATCATCTAAGTGTCCACATGCTACCAAAGCCCCTTTCAAATTTCTTCATTACATAGGTATCTTAATGGAGTTATTAAAGGGGAAACTGACATAAACTCAGAATCCGGTAATCTAATAAGATATGTCAGTACAGATCCTCTCCCTGACTTTCTATGTTCTTCATGACTAAAACATTGAGAATGAAATATTTCTTCCTTTTATTAATTCTGCAACAAATGCTCAAACATAGAAGGTGCTTAATCATCACAAGCCTTTAAATTTTAGTATGCTTTAAACTAGTCAATGCACCTTGCAACTCAAAATTTTTTTCTCAAAGTTTGTTTTGCCATGTAAGTTTACATTTATGCCAAGACCAAAGTATTTTACCTGCTTTCGTAAAGATTCACTGGAGTTATAATGTACCATGCAGTTAATAGTTTAAGGATTAGTTATACAGTTAATCAATTCCACCACCCTACAGAGACCCGTGGAAATCCCATCATTTGACCCTTTTGAGCCTCCCTTTAAGTCCAAGTAGCATTTTCAGGCTTGGATCCATGACAAACAGACAATATTACAAGTAGCACACACATGATCACTCCCTTGAAAACTAGAACTAAAGAGACACATGACAGCAAGAGGATAGTATTATTAGTACATTATAGTATATTAGTTAATTTTCATTTTCAATAGTATCTCTAAAATATTTGTGCATATATACACAGACACACACCACCCAGGTAAAGTTAAAAGTTCTGCTCCCCTCCCACTCCAAAAAAAGTCTCTTTGAAAGATCAATGATAGCATCGATCTAAGTTTTATTCATTTACTTCAGCTCTGGTCAATGGTTTCTTTGGTGTTCTTCTGGGTATGTCTGAGAATTCACTGATTGGCAGAATAGGAGCTGCATGCTTGAAATTTCCAGTCACCCTATTGACAACCTGCCAAGATTCAAATTATTCAGACTCAGAATTTACCAAACATAACAAAGATACTTATAAAAAAGAATAATCTGCTTCTGTAATGTTTGAATTTCTCAAATAAAAATCTATGCAGAATTGAAACACATTCAGCGGTTCACAAATGAAACCTTGAAATTCTTCAAATATTTAGTAAAAATTAGCTTCATAATAATGAGGACATTTGTGTAATGAATTAAACTTATTTGTATACAGTGGCTATATTGAAAAATTCTAAAACTGAGTGAAAAATTCTAAGTGTAGAATAATAGAAGGAAATCTGTCTAAAATGTAATGTATAGAACATGTAAAGTTGAGATTTGCCACAATTCACCACCTCCCCATTTCCAATTATGAGATAATTTACAAAAAATACCACTTTTATAGTTTGTGAAACATATTTACTAAAGATTCGTTGCTTGAAGCCATTATAGTTTCAGCTATAGGAGTACTCTCTGAAATTACTGCACCATCTATACGAAAATGTTGTGAAGTTTCCACCTGTTAGTTTGAAAACAAAACAAAAACAATAAATGCACAATAATAACTAAGACCCTACCAATCTGAAAACCCAATTCTAAGCAATAAGCCTTGCATCACCCTTTTCCTTGGAGTTCTTCTTGACCCTCTTGTAGATTCCCTAGTTAATGCCTGCAGAGGTCCGACTTTTGAAGATCCACTTGTCCATTCAGTCTCAGTTACTCCAGCTTGAGAATAGCTCTATTCAAGCATCGACACGTTAAAAAAAAAAGTCATATTCTCACATCAAACACCTTAATGGCCACATTAGCACAGAGAAGGCAGAAAGCTGGCAAATCCCAGCAGTTACAAACAATGCTATGCCCTCAAATTATTTCTAATGTATTGATGACACTGACATGTAAGCATCAGTAAACAAAGGGTGGTAAAAATATACTCAAAAATCCACCAATAATAGCTCATAAATTATAATAAAAACAAGGGGAAAAGCACATCAATTATCACTGACTGGCTCCTTTTGTGACTCACTGTTGGCTATTATGTTTTAGGACTGCAGCTGGATTTCTGTCTAAACCAAGAACAGACTGTCATGATTTATATGAAAGTCATTTGTTATCACAAGTGAATTTCCTTAAAAAAGGTAGTAAGGTGCTGGTAATGTACAACTACAATCTTACTTATTCAGGGGGCTAAGATCAAATGACCATGATTCAAAGCCAGCCTACACAGGAAAAATCTTATCTTTAATTAATCACCAAAAGGCCAAAAGTGGAGGTATGGCTTAAGTGGTAGTATGCCAGTCTTGCAACACAAAACTAAGGGATAGTGAACAGGCCATGAATTCAAGCTCTAATACCAACACTGCCCTCCTTATAAATTTTGGCTGGGGGTGTATTAGTAGTAGACCACTTGCTAAATAAGAAAAATCTGTGGATTCAATCCCCAGGACCATCTAACAAACTTATGACTTAGCATACAGTAAACACTATTCTTTTCATATGGTTAAGATTATTTTAGCAACATCAATTTAAATTTAAATTATACTCAGCTACCTGAACTAAGAATTTCCCAGGTATTAAACTCTCTTTGGAAAAAAGAATCAAGATTAGGCAATAAGAAAAACCTGGCAATTATCCTTTCATGAATACACAAGCTTAATATGTCACAATTGCAATGTTACCCTAGTCTCATTATGGAAAGAGATAGGTACAAGCAATAAACAGGGTTGTCTTATAGTCAAAAGATGTGGTAGAGCATTAGATTTGAGCAAAAGAAGCTCTGGGACAGCACCCAGGCCCAGGATTAGCACCAAAAAAATTAACTAATTAAGTATGTATATAACAAAGGGTTGTAGATGTAACTCAGTGAAAGACTGCTTGCCTAGCAAGCAGCTCTGGGTTCCATCACAAGCACCATAAAGAAAAAATTAGCACGTTTTATATTCCGGTTAAAACCCATTAGACCAATGTTTCTCAATGCCAGAGTGAGATTATGTTATCACTTTTACTTTTTATGTAATATTTTACCTAGATAATTTATGGGTTTATAGCTATTATGTTTAATGCCTTTTTAAAAAAAAACTCTTGTTTTGTTTTTTTTTGGTCAGTTGTGGGGCCTGAACTCTTGGGCCTGGGCGCTGTCCCTCAGCTCTTCAGCTCAAGGCAAGCACTCTACCATTAGAGCTACAGCACCACTTCCAGTTTTCTGAGTGGTTTATTGGAGATGAGACTCTGATGGATGGGGCTGGGAAGGTGGCTCAGTGGTAGAGTGCTTGCCTTGCATGCATGAGGCCCTGGATTCCATTCCTCAGCACCACATAAGCAAAAAGAAAAAAAGCTGGAAGTTGTGCTGTGGCTCAAGTGGTAGAGCGCTAGCCTTGAGCTGAAGAGCTGAGGGACAGTGCCTAGGCCCAGAGTTCAGGCCCATGACCAGACCCCCTCTCCCCCCCCCCAAAAAAAAGACTCTGATGGATGAAGTGGCGCCGTGGCTCAGGCAGTTGAGCACTTGCCTTGAGCTGAAGAGCTGAGGGACAGGGGCCCAGGCTGGCATTGAACGTGATTCCTCAGATCTCAGCCTCCAGAGTAGCTAGGATTACAGCACCAGGCTAAAAAAACTCTTATCTAGTGACAAGATTAATCATCCAGCTAACCAGGCTTATTTGGCTAGAAGTATTACTACTAAAAAATTCCACAAAGATAGTGTCCCAAATCTGATGGTATATTTATACATACTGACATTTACTTTGACTCAGTTTAAAAATCTAGGGATTCCTTCTGCTATCACTTAGGATATAGCTGATGAATATAAAATAGACATGAAAAGACAAATTTGTAAATAAATTATACTAAATGGTCAACTTCCTGATTATGTGAATGGAAGAAAATAGTTGTTTTTTTGTTGGTTGTAAGACTTGAACTCAAGGTCTGAATGATATCTCCTGAGATATTTGCACAAGGCTAGTGGTCTACCACTTTGATCCACAGCTCCACTTCCAGTTTTCTGGTGGTTAACTGGACATAAGCGTCTTTTGGCTTTCCTGTCCCAGCTGGGTTTGAACCATGATCCTAAGATCTCAGCCTCCTAACCAGAGAGGACTACAGGCATGAGTTGAGTTTACTGTTTTCAATTTGGTGGGTACAGCATCATCTAGAAGGAGCTTTAAAAAAAAAGGAGCTGAACACCTGAAATCCTATCTACTCAGGAGACCGACATGTAGAGGATGAGGATTCCAGGCCAGCTGAAAGGAAGTATGTTTGTGACAGGAGTTCATGAGACCCCCGTATCAAAAAAAAAAAAAAAAAAACCACACAAAAAACCGGTATGCAGTGGTGCAAACCTATAAATAGGAGAATCTTGTACAAAATGCTGGTCTAGAATACCCCAGGCAAAAATGAAAGAGCATATTAAAAAAAAAAAAAACAGGAATGAGAAAAATAACCCGTTTAGCGACTGAGAAATCCTAAGTTCAAATCCTTGTACCACAAAAAAGCAAGCAAGCAGCTGATGGCTCATGCCTGTTAATCCTAGCTATTCAGGAGGCTGAGGTCTGAGGAGCATGGTTCAAAGACAGCCCAGGCAGGAAAGTCTGTGAGACTCTTATCACCAATTAACCACTAGAAAATCAGAAGTAGTGCTGTGGTTCAAGTGGTAGAGCGCTTGCCTTGAGCTTAAAGAGCTGAGGGACAGCACGCAGACCCAGAGTTCAAGCCCCATAACCGACAAAAAGAAAAAAATAAGTAAGGAAGAAAAAAAGGAAGAAGAGAGAGAGAAATCCTTGGATTCAAGTATCTAGAGTAGCAGAATATCACATGTGAAGCCAGCCTGGGATACAGAGAAAAACTGTCTTTTTCTAAACACAAAATAAAAAAAGAACAAAAATACTTTCAACTACTGAGCTCATGCTTGTAATCCTTGCTACTTAGGAGGCTGAGATCTGAGGAGCCCAGTTCAAGCCTGCCCAGGCAGGAAAATGCGAGATTTTTACCTCCAATTCATCACCAAAATATCAGAAGTGGTGCTGTGACTCAAAGCCTCAGTAGAGGGTTAGCCTTGAGTGAAGGAGCTCAGAGATAGTGCCCAGGCCCTGAATTTAAGCCCCATAACCGGAAACAAAACAAAACAAAAAAAACAAACAAAATCATAAAACGCTAGCAGAGACAGCAGAAAAGTTTGAGGAACAGCATCCAGGCCCAGAGTTCAATCCCCATGACTAGCAAAACAAAAGCAAAAACATACCCAACATACCAAAAACCCTTGGGCCAATTAAAGCAGAATCTCTTCTAAAAATAAGGCCTGAACAGCACTGTGAATACACACCAGCAGTACAGTGTGCATTACCTACAAAGTCCTACATCCAACCTCCAGCACAAGCAAGTAAAAAACCACCTAAAATAAACAAATGAATAGGTATGAACGTAGTTAATTCTAATTGTTTCTGAAAAAATTCTAAAGCGAGGTCTGATACATCTTGTTCAAAATAATTTAACTGCAATGAACTTATCTCAAAGCTAAGTTTAAAACAAAACCAACAGCCAGGAACCCAGTGGCACTGAGATCTGAGGTATTTTAGTTCAAAGTCAGTCCACGCAGGAAAGTCTGAGACTCTTATTTACAAACAACCAGTAAAAAGCCAGAAGTAAAGCTATGGCTCAAGAGTGCTAGCCTTGAGTGGAAAATGACAGGCAAGATCACTGTGAACACAAATACTAGTACTGGAACAAATCAAATCAAATTAAATTAATATGTGAGCTGGTGGCTCACATCTATAATCCTTGCTACTCAAGAGATTGTGAGATCTGAGGATGGTGGTTTGAAGCCAGCTTAAGCAGAAAAGTCTGAGAGGCTCGTATCTTCAATTAACTAGCAAAAACCCAGAACTAGAGGTGTGGCTCAAGTGGTACTGTCAGCCTTGAGTTAAAAAAAAAAATTAAGGGACAGTGCCATGGCTAGCCCTGAGTTCAAAACCCAGTCCGGGGGGCTGGGAACGTGGCTCAGTCGTAGAGTACTTGCCTTGTATGCCTCAGGCCCTGGGTTCAATTCCTCAGCACCACATACGCAGAAAAAGCCGGAAGTGGTGCTGTGGCTCAAGTGGTAGAGCACTAGCCTTGAGCTGAAGAGCTGAGGGACAGCACCCAGGCCCAGAGTTCAGGCCCCATGACCGGACCCCAAAAACAACAACAACAACAACAAAAAACCAGTCCTGGCACCCACACGCACACACATGTGCGCGCACACACACACATGTAATACTGCAATTAAAACTGTTATTTAATAAGATGGACCAATTATTGAGGTTAACTCACTGGCACGTAAAATAAGAATGTGATTGCTGTTTTGAGGCCAAAATAAGAGTTGTAGTATCATCTATGTTAGAGCAAGATGTCTCACAGAACCTGGGCAGGATGACACACATTTGTAAACCCAGCACTTAGGGGACTAAGGCAAAAAGATCTCAAATTTGAGGCCAGCCTGAGCTACAAACTAAGTCCATCTTAAAAAACAAAACAAAACAAAAAGCCCCTAAAGTGTTCTATAGATACCAAGGAGAAACAAACCTTTTCACAGTGCCTTCTAATTAAGTTCTTGGGTAAAAGTCATTTGGGTAGCTAGACTTCAGAATGTAGATAGAAACTGGGTTAGTAAGGACTATACATTCCAACCAATAAAAATACAAAATACAAATTTAAAAAAATTAAACTAGGTCGCAGGAGAGACCGTGAGACTCCTATCTCCAATAAACCACTAGAAAACCAGAAGTGGCGCTGTAGCTCAAGTGGTAGAGCGCTCACCTTGAGCTGAAGAGTTGAGGGACAGCGCCCAGGCCCATAGTTCAAGCCTCACGACCGACCAAAAAAAAAAAAAAAAATTAAACTATGTCATAAAAGAAAGTCAAGCCAGGCATAGTGGTACACTCCTATATCCCCAGCACTCAGGAGGCTAAAGCAGAAAAACCAAGAGCTAGATGCTGGTGGCTCACATCTGCCTATAGGAAGCTGAGATCTGAGGTGTGGTTTGAAACCAACTCAGGCAGGAAAGTTGGGAGACTCTTATCTCCAATAAACTGCTCAGAAAAAGCCAGAAGTGTCACTGTGGTTCAAGCAGAGTACTAGCCTTGAGCCAAAAAAGCACAGGGACAGAACCCAAGCCAAGACTTCAAACCCCAGGATGGCAAAAAAAAAAAAATAAAGAAAGAAAGAAAAAAAAATTGAGGTAAATCATGACTTTTTTTTTATACTAACTTAAAAAAAATAATAGATTCCCCCCATAGAGAACAGTGTTTTCATCAGTGCTGCTGGAACACAAAAACCTCCAACTCACAGTATTTGAAGAAGTGGCACTGTGGCTCACAGTGGTAGAACACTATCCTTGAGCAACAGAGCTCTGGGACAGTGCCCAGGCCCTGAGTTCAAGCCCCAGTACTAACCCCCCACCCCCCAAAAAAAAGAATAAGAGTATTTGGTGACATCTAGTAAAACTATCTAGCAACTTCACATATAGAGTTCTGTAAGACAAATTGACCAAAAAAAGTAAATGCTACCTGAAAAAGACATTTTGACATAATGCTGAACTAACAAGAGCATGCCACCAAAAAAAAAAAAAAAAAATATATATCTCCACAAAATGGCAGACTAAACAGTAGGTCCATGAAGCAATTTGTAGAATATGACAGAGAAGAATGTACAAAGTAGGGTTACTTTTATAAAAGTATAAGGGTTAAAAAGATTTTTTTTGGCCAGTCCAAACAGAGGCTTAAACTCTGGGCTGAGGTGCTGTTATGGAGCTTTTTTTGCCGAAGGCTAGCAGTCTACCACTTGAGCCACAACACTACTTCTGGCCTTTTCTGAATAGTTTATTGGAGATTAGAGTCTCACAGATTTTCCTGCAGGGCTGGCTTCAAACCACAATCCTCAGATCTCATTCTCCTGAGTAGCTATGATTACAGACATGAATCTCCAGTGCCTGGCTTAAAAAAAAAAAGTTTTTTTTTTAATATGCAGAAAATGTAACTTTCTAAATGAAAGAAAAAAAATCAGCTGTATAGGAAAAAAATATCTTAAACCCATTAAGCTATAACACAAAGAAGAAATTCTATATAGCATGATCTTATACCCAATATTTTAAAGTTATATCCTAATGAAGTATATCTTAAATGGAAGGGAGACCTCAAATTGCACTTAGTAACATTATCAGTAGTAATACTGTACTATTTTGAAACAAACATCATGTGATAGTTATATAAAGTATCACTGGAAGAATCAAGATACCCAGCATAAGAAAAAAGATACCAATTCTAATACCCAAAGTTATATATCACATTTATAAATTTGAAATACCATGTTTTGACAATATGCTTTTCTTTTTCCAGAGGGAAGGAAGAAAAAAAGAGAGAGAAGGGAAAGGGCAGGAGAGAATGGGAGTCAAGAAGGGGGGGAGGGAGAAGACAGACTCAAGAGGGGAAGGAAGGAAGAAATCAAAAACTGAGATAATCTCAGGCTGGGGATATAGCTCAGTGGTGAGTGCTTATCTAACATGTGTATAAAATACAACAAAAAAGTCCTGCAATGCATCATAAATCAAATATATAAAAATCAAGTATTTGAAAAAATACTTGCCAGATATTAGTGGTTCACACCTATAATCCTAACTACTCAGGAAGCTGAGCTCTGAGATTACAATTTAGAGCAAGTCTGAGAAGGTCAGTCCCTCCAATTAACTAGCAAAAGGCCAGACTGGCTCAAGAGTGCAAATAAGTGAGCAGAAAAAGTGACAGTATGAAGGAGGCCCTGAGTTGGAGGCCCAGTACTAGCAATACAATAAATTAATTTATTTTTCTTTTTAATAACATGGGCAATTAGTAATTAATCTATGTAGGCCACATAGTAAATTCTGGCCTAGAATTTACTATGTAGTCCAGGCTATGTTTAAACTCAAGGTTCTCTTGCCTTGGTCTATCTAATACTGGGCTTATAGGTGTGACTATACATCATGCTTGGCTCAGGTTTAATGTTTTAATTGTAAATTTCTTTTTCCTTTTGGTTGTGGGGCTTGGCCTGGGTGCTGTACCTCAGCTCTTCACCTCAAGGCTAGCGCTCTACCACTTGAGCCACAGCGTCACTTCTGGCTTTTTCTGTTTATGTGGTGCTGAAGAATCAAACCCAGGGCATCATGCATGCAAGGCAAGCACTCTGCCACTAAGCTACCTTCCCAGTCCCAGGCTTATTGTTTTAAAAAAATAGGTAAAACATATAATGATATGTAGGTATTACTCCAATCTTGATTTTAACAATGTAATTGTAAATCAGACATTTCAGAGTGGAAGAATTTGAATGTTGATTAGAAAAAAAATTACTTTTACTAGGAGGCATAGTGGACATAGTAAATATCTTTTAGTGCATGAAATGACATGTCAGAAGTCTGTTTGAATATAATCCAGCAAAACAAAACAAAACGTAATTTAAAAAACAGTATAACTAGTGTGATCATCTGTTAACTACAATTTAAATCCTCTACTTCTTATTTTTTTGTAATAAGGCCATTATTTAATTCTGCCTATCACCTTTTAAATCTAAACTTTTCTTTTGACTACCCTGCTCTTCAGCTGGGATTCTCCAATTCAAAAACCTGTTAAACCATCTTAATTCTCTCCTTTTAATCTTGTTATCTGAAGACTCTCTTCTTGGCACTAAACTATCTTGCATCCTAATCACATTCTAACCAGTTTTCTATGCTTGTCTACTTCAATATCTTACAGGATTTTCTAGTTGCTCTTTTGTAATTTCCTTACTTTTTAGCATGCTTTTATAGGTCTTTGCTAGCAACATCAAAGAAAAAAAAATCTTATATTTGGTTCTACAGCAAACAAGATCTCCATTAATTCAATGCTCTATGTTCTCCAATCACCAAACGTTTTTAATAAAATACTTCTATGCCAAGTGAAAAGTACATGCTAAAAGAAAAAAATCAAGAACATCTCCAAGATGAGATTTTAAAATGACCGAGGACTATGAACATACCTTAGTGGTAGAACATGGCTAGCATGCATAAGGCTCTGTTTTACCACCAAGTAACCCTTACCAAAAACAAAAACAAGAAAATGGGATAAAAAATAATTTGACAGAGCCGGGCGCTGTTGGCTCACGCCTGTAATCCTAGCTACTCAGGAGGCTGAGATCTGAGGATTGCGGTTCAAAGCCAGCCCAGGCAGTAGAGACCATGAGACTCCTATCTCCAATAAACCACCAGAAAACCGGAAGTGGCGCTGTAGCTCAAGTGGTAGAGCGCTCTCCTTGAGCTGAAGAGC